CGATGCCACAGCTGCGATTATTCATCAGTTAGCGTAGCAACTGCATAAATGAAAGAGGATTGTGCTTCACTCCTTCCTCAACTTCTCATCAGCCGCTAAGACTCCCTCCGTGGCCGAGGTAGTCTGACTGCGACACGTGCAATTTGAGGTGTCTTGTCGCGTACCTCTCAGTCGAATCGCAGTTCGCTGCATTGTCCAACAACGGATTGAGGGTGCTAGCGAACCACCTCGGCGTCCGTCCAGAATCGGTTCTATCCTCTCTGTTGCCTTCCATTTACACAACACCACGTCAGGTCAGCTTCCCCAGTTTGTGTCTGAAACATGCTGACGCCATTGCATTGTTTGCCGCGGTGTCCACCCGGGAAAAATAGACTGACTGTTTCAGAGAGGTAGAAAAAATGGAGAAGTGGCCCCTAGAATATGGGTTCTGTTTCAATGTCGGAAAGTGCCTCGAGTGAGTCTTCATGCCTCAAAACAGGCGCTCCCGGATGCTGCAGAATGTTGCTTGGACGGACAGCTGTGTTAGCCCAGCTGCCTGGACCAATAAACACTCCACTTAACTGGGAATGCACCTTAGCGATCAGCTGACTTGGTCTGATCACGTCCAACTGATTGTCCCCAAAATAACACAGGCATCCTTGTACTTTCGTAGATTACGGCAGATGGGGGTATCGACCTGGCTTCTTGGCAGTTTTGGCCGTCAGGCATTTCCGCAGCATTTACGTACGCATCTCCAATATTTCTAAGGGATTTGTCTGATAATGGTTCTGGAACCTTTCAACTGAGCTTGAGACTATCTGCGAAGGCTACTGGCCTACATATCGACGGACCACCTCCCTCGGTGATGGTCAGCGACATTTGTTCTGTCACTGATAGTTTCGCAAACAGCATACATATGGGTCCCGCTCTTCCCTCGCAAGATATGATGCCCAGTTGCGAATCGAACTTCAGGGCTGCGCGTACAAATCTGAATCCAATATACGCTTGTACTGAAGCCTCCGAAATCTCAGATATCTGCCTCGCCTGATCCGGTTCTGAAGGATCCTCACGAATTCAGTGAAAATTACTTACAAAGTTGTCGTAAACTTTTCTGCTTTCTTTTGTTCGCCGTAGATAAATGTATATTGCCAAAGTGCTGGAACAACTGGAAAGTGGATACTTATTGTCCACTACAGCTATGAATGGATTTAATTTAAATCATATGCACAGATTTAATTCTGTACCCAGAATTTCTCTTTATTTGCCTCAATAGATTGATATACCTATATATCGCGCCTGTTGTATATGCGATAGGAGATATCCTCAATAGGGTTTACTCTGTTATTCAAAGTTTGTTAGCTTCAGACTACATGATATATGGAGCCTAAGCGATCAGCAGTTATCATATCCTGAAACCTTCTTGTCAATTGTGACACTTGAGATGATTGACCAAATTTTGTGCCCATACGCAAAATTAAGTCTTCGTGAATGAACGGAGTATTTTTGCACTCACGGGAGCAAACACTGGCAAAATCTGAGTGTAGCACATGCGTTAATGCACAAGATGCAATAGCAGAAATATCTAATAACATATGGGCTGAATTAGGTCAACATTATTATATGATGGAGATGTCACAGGAAAGATGGGGAAAAGAATTTCTCTGAGTCGGGTTGCTGACCAGACGGCAGCGGTATATGGAAGGCAGGGCATCGACACGCCTTTAAATCCTGGCCTTGACGCTTTTCCGTTTGCGGAGAATCCAGAACATTAGCAAGGCTCCTTGAAGCAGGTGTACCAAAGAGTAAAAAGTAAAGACGAATTCTGAGCCTTAATGAACTAATTAGTGCTTGAAGTTGAAATGTTACCACTAATCACACTAACTGGCCGAATGTTCATCAGCATGGTGCCTTTGCATGTAAAAACTGTACTTCTTAAAACACTGCATCGATGACGTTGAAATTACTTACGACGACTGATCATTCACATTCTGGGTCATAAAAGCCAAACAAAAAACGTTCGCATAATTTTCTTTCTCATGATTAATCAACTCAAAAACTTGTTTCCGATGACAAAAAGACTCGGTCATTTTGCGGGGCGTTTCCAACCGGTTAATCGATGGCGCTTGCCACCATTCCGCTACTTATGTACTCTAATTTGTTGACTGGATAGTGGACAAACTCTTATGCTGTAATTGCGAGTAAATTGTCATTTAATTCACAGTTTTGATGATTTATGCTCAGAGCTTTTAATAAAGCCGGTTTCATTCCGTACGTTGCGAAGGCAGACCAAAGATTAAGAACAAGAAATCACATGCAAGAGAGAACAGGGGCTCAGCACTTTCCTCAGCCGAGAGGCACTTCGGCAAAGACTTGTCATGAAACCTGAATCAAGCCGTTTAAGAGCAGAATGTATCGTTTGTTTGTGTATCCTGAGGTCCTTACTTTGAGTCATTTGCATATTCAGAACGTCTTTGGTTTCTGATGTCCACCACATTCAAAACTTTTCGACACTTTTGCATTAAGGCGGAGTTTACTGCTCTGTAAGAAGAAATGTTCCTCTCCGAAAGCAGATCTGTCACCAATTTGTTCCTCCATGTCATATGCTGGTGTCCTGTTTCGATTCCAACAAAGGATGCTCCTGGGCTGAAGTAATTGGCATATACTCAAGCTGTTTGTTTAACAGAATCAAGCTCCTTTCTTATTCTCCTCATCTGCTGAGGTCACCCTTGCCTGGCGTCCTGTCACTTAACCAGCATTCATCGAAGATAGCGCCGTTGCACCACGTTCAACTGCGGATTTTTTCTCTTTCGTTAAAACAACCGTCTCGAAGAGCACAACAACCCTGATGGTATTGGTGACAGAGCCTAGAGTGATCACTTGTCAGTATTTTTTTTAATATTTACGTCTCGTGCCCATTGTAAAGATTGCAAACAACACCTTGATCGATACTCGAAGAAAGAGTGATGAAGTTACTTCGTTTTGTGTCCTTGATTTTAACTAGAAATAGTGCAAAGACAAAGGTGTGGGTAGAAAAGTCATTTGGCTTTCACAGATTGATATATCCAGAATCTCTCGAATGGAGTTAGACATTTAAGCAAGCCACAGCTTCGTTGCATTTCCGCTCCTGCAACACTTAGATCTAACACGAATATGGGCACTCCTGCTTACATCGTGATGTTATAGCTCATTCGGCTTCTTGCTATGACCTTTTCCGCTGTGCCCTATGAGGTGGGAGTGAACCGCGTTGAGAATGAAAGCCTTACTATGGCTTTGACTTGATTGATTCGGTCATGAATCAGCCAATTAGCTACAATTAGACAACGGGCCTTGTCTTGTTTGAAGACACTGATGATTCTGCGATTATCGCACTGGCAGTAACCACCATTTGCAGCACATATCTGACGAATGAAGTTACCTATTTCAGTTTTGATGTGAATGCATAAAGGTTTGCGAATAATTTTCTATGAAAACAAAATATTTTTCTCAAATTTCTGTCCTGTGATCATTCTCCTACTTCACAGGCTGCACAGGGCTTCATGTAATACTCGCTTCCAACATCACATTAGCCATATATTTAAAATAAGATGTGTTTCTCTCATCTGAAAGTCAGGTTTCGTTGATTTTTCATCCGTAAGCACATTCAGAAATGGCACATATTGACTTCATTCGTAGACGAGAAGCTAAATCTTTAAATTACACTTTTTCAGAACAAGAACCACACGCATTGATCCGTTGCCCATGTGAATAAAATTAATATTAATGCACCAATAATACCAAGATAGGAGGATACCGAGGATCAGATATCCCGAGGTACGAGGAGAAGCCCAAACGAATATTCGCATTAGAGACACGTCGTTCCAGCGAACAACGTTCGATTTCATTCAATTTAGTTGGTGCACGTAAGTTCTTACTTGATTGTAGCTCACAGCCCATTGATCGTAAAGCTTGCATACATCGTCGGATTCTTTCCATGTTCTGTGGTCAGGAAGAAATATGTCGAATATTTTGTCATTGCCTTCGGATTCAGTCGTGGACAAGGCTGGCGAGTCGTTCACCTGAATCATGTTGTTGCGCTTTGATGCTCCTCGAAAGCCCGTTTCCGCTGAATCACAGAGACGAGTAATTTCACCAGGTCGTCACAGTCGCGTCGGGATTGATCATCGACTTTCGCATGAACGTGGCGCAAGAAACCGGATATGTTTAACCGTGAAAAATGACGCTTTGGTTTTTGCCGACACCAAGACCAGCCTTTAGGGACAGAAAATCTATAAACCTCAAACGAAGCAAACGAATTCCTTTCGATTCGTTCGTCCCTCGATCGCAATTGTTTCGGAGCGGGGTTGCACAGTCGGCTTAGCGGCGAACTCAGATCCGAGAGGTCGTAGGTTCGAGTCCAGGTCGGGTCTCTCGCCTTTCCTGCGAGACTGAAAAAAGAGTACCATTCATTGGGAAGCAAGCAGAAGACAACGCTTGACATACTGCTGTTGTCGACCCTGTCTTTAACATAAGGCACGCCTGGCTGATAACACGAAATTTGAGGTCAGCCCCCACCATGACCCAGAATGGCGTCAAACATGTCCCAATGGTAGAAGTGTAAGAAAAACCACGACTGAAACGGCACGCTTCTTTGCTTATCACCTTGGCATAAAATTTAAATTGTTAA